AAAGTTGAAATTCATTTACAGAGGTTTGATTTTTCCCTCCTGTTCAAAAATGTACAGGATGACCCAGCTGAAGTTATTTGAAGCAGTTTACAATAAAGTACAAAGTAAGGAAAATGAATAGAATATTATGTAAAGAAGTGAACTGATCAATAGTAATCTTCATTCAAGGCCCAAAGACTATCCTCAATGTCTTTCCTACTTGAAGAAGGTTAAGGGATATTTACATGTAAGGGATTGTCTTTAGTGCATAGGGAAGAGTCTCCAATTGAAAATGTCTGTTTCGTGGTCTTATTTTCTGTAAGACTAGAATCCTGGACAGGCAGATAACAAGACCTGGCCAACATTCAGCTTTTTCAAGATAGTTCCTAATATAACCCAAAGTCATGTTGCTTGGGGCTTTATGTATAACTATGCTTAGAGCTTTATGTACAATGATCTATACCTGGTCTTCTTGTACAGTAATTTCAGGAGGAACACAGTTTCTGTATTCCTACCATTTCAGCACACACAAGGATTTACACATGTTAAGATTATTTTGGCTCTCCGCAGAAAACTTCAGAAAATATAATTATCCCAAAGGCCTCCCTGTTCCAGGACTTATATTCTAGTAGAAACAAGAACAAACTACAAAACAATGACAGCAAAATATTTTAATCTTTGATATTAAAGACACCAGGAAATGAAATAGTAGAAAAAATAGACTCCTTTAGCTGGATTCTATTTTTACTGTTTCTTTGATTTCTGAAAACAATTTAAGTTGATGTATACTTCCCAGAAACACATTTCTTATGATAGGTAGAGTTGTAAATATATAAGTAAGTAAGTAATAGAGCCACTTTAGTATAGTGGTTAATGTATCAGGCTAATAACTGACAGATTGTGAGTTCTAGTCCCACTTTAGGCATAAAGAGCCAGCTGTGTGACCTTGGTCCAGTCACTCTCTCTTAGCCCTAGTAAATAGGGCAATAGGGCCATAGCAAACCACTTCTGAAATCTTGTCAAGAAAATTGCAGAGACTTGTCCAGGTAGTCACCATGAATCAACAGTTACTTGAAGACTTGCACAAATAAACAAAACATAAATTCTACTCGAATTTAGTATGGAACAAGTTCTCACAATAATTACATATGTGTCTAGAATAAGGAAAACAAACATTCATTTCTAGGCATGCAAGAGAGAAACATGACAGCAGATTTAGACACATTTCATTGGAAAGACAAGAAATTAGTTGGTTTCTAATTTACATTTAATATTTTTTTAAGGATACTTGAAAATTGTAGTAAAGTAAAATGCAGTTATCTATCTGTACTTAAAGAAATAAACTGAAAACAGTATTTATATATATGAAATTTATTATTATCTATTATATTTTCTCTTCTAACGAAGATGGATGAAGTTAGAATTAATATGGAATTTCACAACAAGCAAAGCTCAAAATGCTTCTCCACTATTCCTCACAGGAAGGAGCTGAATTTTTTATAAGACTAATTTAACTTCTTCTTCAATAAGAATAATGGTTAATCCATTAGTTACTCCATATCAAACTTTTAATATATCACTGCTATATTTTATAAAGTTGCATCCAAATTTATGAAGAAATAGAGGATTATATATAATGTTTGAATAAAATTAATCAGTATAATCAATGCAAGTGAAAAATACCCATTTAGGAATAAGCATAAATTCCACATTTGGAAATGAACAAACTTGCTTGGAGTATAGGTCTAGTATTTTGTTTTTCCAAAAAGTGACATCCATAACATTCAAAAACCTTTGCAGTGCTTTTTAAAATTTCTTTTTTTTCTAGGTTTATAAACATGTAGGTCTACAATGGGAATAATGGTCATATATATCTTTGGAACTAAGTAAAAATGAATTAAAACAAATGGGGACACACATTTGTCAAAAGATATCTGAGTAAACATAGCAAGCTCCTACAGAAATAAGAAAGAATAGGAGATGAAATCTGAATCATTATAACATCACATCAAACAAGGGAGAGCATATAATGAGTTTTCTTAATAAATTCAACCTGAAAAATGCTTTCAAGACATTCATAATTATTTTTTTCTTTTTCACACATAAAGATATTTAGGTCCATTCCAAAGGAAGATTTTTGTTTAAAATCTTTCTTATAGCAAATTTCACTTCTTGATTCCTCAGTGTGTAGATTAGGGGATTTAAAGCTGGTGTGATTGTGCTGTATAACACAGTAATGATCATATCCTTCTTAGAAGAATCACTAGCAGAGGCAACCATATAATTGGAAATTACTGGAATATAGAAAATGGCCACCACACTCAGATGGGATGCACAGGTGGAAAAGGCTTTCCAACGGTTCCGCCATGACTGTACCTTGAAGAAGAGGAAGGAGATGATGTAAAAATAGGAGAGAAGCGTAAAAAAGAAGGGACTCAGAGCAATAAAGCTACTCAGAAGATTCAGCAGGATGAAGTTGAGTGCTGTGCTACTGCAAGCTAACTTCAGGAGAGGCTTGATATCACAAAAAAAGTGTTCAATGAGATTAGGACCACAGAACCACAGCTTAGAGGTCGCTATTGCATGCACCAAGGCATGAAAGAAGCCAGCAGCTAAAGTGGCCCCAGTCAATGTAATACAAGCCCATTTACTCATGATGAGAGTATAACGCAGAGGATGACAGATAGCTACATATCTATCATATGCCATGACGCCCAGCAGCACAGCCTCACTACTGCCCAGGAAGTGGAAGAAGTGCAGCTGAGTGAGGCAGCCAATCAAGGAGATGGACTGATGCTTTCTAAGGAAGCCACTTAGCATTTTTGGCACAGTCACAGTAGAGTAGCATATATCCAAACCAGAAAGGTTTCCTAGAAAAAAATACATGGGGGTGTGAAGCCGAGACTCAGTCAGGATGACTGCCAGGATGGCCCCATTTCCTAATAAACAGGCAATATAGAAAAGCAGGAAAAGTATAAATAGAACTTGTTGCAAACTGTGATCATTTGTTAGACCGAGAAAAATGAATTCAGATACTTCTGTCCAGTTCTTCATTGCTGCAAGTAAGAAAGAAATATAATAGATACGAAAATGAAAAGCCATGTTCTGGAAGACATTTTCCATTCACATAGGAATCAATAATTTGCATTAATTGTTGTTTTGTTATCATTAAAAGGTGAAGGTGTCCCTATCAGTGGTGTCCAACTCTAGGCCAAAATGCTCATTTCTGTTTCTTGGCCAAGGAAGCCATCATCATCCAAAGACAATTTCTGTGGTCATGTGCTAGTGTGGCTATATGCATAACCTGAACAAAACATTAATGGAAAGTTTGAAGAAAAGAATCCATCAATTGTAAAGGAGATGGTTTCTCTATATATTTTGGAAACATCTACTTTCATTTTTGCTGGCTTCCTTGGCCAAGACTGTGAGATACATATATCAAGGTGACAATCTTACTATTTCCATATTGTCTAGGGAATGGCTGTTTAAAATACAACATTAAAATCTTTAAAATACAGCAGTTTGGTTCACCTAGACAGATATAATAGCTCAACTATTTTTGAAATTATTCTTCAGGGATCAGAAGGGTGGCACTTAATTTCTTGATAGCAGTATATAGCATTTTATGAATGAAGATATATTCTTTCAATAATTTTCAGTAGATACTTTGGATGGATTATCCAAAAAACTTAAAGGAAATAATATTCATGTATTTATTAGTTTATGATATTTATGTCTCATCTTTCTCTAAGAGATAACATAAATTATTTGGCAGATCTTCTATTTCTTAGCAGTTCCAGACAATCTGTATATTGAGAAGGCCATGCAAGTCATGGACTAGACATCTATGATTCCATGAATATGAAGAATAGGTAGAGTTTTGAAAATCATTCACATTTCTCTACCTGCATATATTATGGTCTCCTCTTTGTAGTCATTCCCAGATCTGCAGTTCAGCAAGATCAAAATATTTCCCTTTGCTTATATTCCAACAGAATATGCCACTGTCATTCTCTACACAAAAAATTAACAGCACTCATTTAACAATTATTTCATGTGGGAAAATGACTCAGGAGATAACCTATGTATGGTATAATGGTTCTGAAAAATATAACTGATTAAACCTCAAGTGAGATAATGATGATTAAACTGCTCCAATAGGGGAGATAAAAGAAAATTGCCCTGGATCTGAATGGAAACAAATTGCTGAATCCTCTAGGATCAATATTGTTGGAGTGAGGATGCCCTCTGCTAGCATTCCCATATGTGCTTTATGTTTTGGGAAATAATAAAGGCTGGGAGGAGATGAAAGAGGATGAACTATGTACAAACATTGATTTCAAGGATACTAATTCCTCACAATCTGTAGCCCATAAAAAAATATATGAGAAAAAACTATTAATATATAATGTATCACAGAACAGTTGTCAGACTCTTAAAGCATGTATAAAGATTTTAAAAGTCCTAAAATTCAATATATTTTAAACATTTTTGTATAACGAACTGTATTTTAGGTAAATATGTCGATATTTGTTTTCATTATTTATCCCCTTCCTTTATTAGTTTTATAAATAATGCAAGGCGGCAAATATATCTTATACTCCTTATAGTCCTTATACCTTATACTCCTTTCTGTTCCTATTTTCCCCATAACAACAAACTCATGGGATAGGATGGGCTGAGGAAAAGTGACAGGCCAAATATATTTGACATGAAGCCCAAAGGCTACTTAGATCCCTCCAAAAAAGGGGGGTTTGCACCCTCAGAGCTGCTGTCTCCTTTCTACTCCTATTTTCCCCACAACAACAAAGCCATGGCTTAGGATGGGCTGAGGAAGCATTTTTGAGGTTGAATTTATTAAGAAAATTCATTCTGTGCTCTCCCTCCTTTGATATTATGTTATAATAATTCAGTCTGCATCTCCTATTCTTCCATAATTCTGTAGGAGCCTGCTTTGTTTATTGAGATATCTTTTGAGAAATGTGTTTCTTTTAATTTATTTATTAAATAAATTAATTTATTCAATTCCAAAGATATACATGATGGTTATACATGAGAGAGATTTTTTTTTTTAGAATCTTTCTTATAGATGTTTTGACTTCTTGTTTTCTCAGTGTGTAAATCATGGGATTTAAAACTGGTGTAATTATGCTGTATAACACAGACATAATCATATCATTCTCAGAAGAATCACTAGCAGAGGCAATCATATAGTTGGAAAGTACTGGAATATAGAAGATTGCTACCACACTCAGATGGGATGCACAGGTGGAAAACACTTTCCAACGGTTCTGCCATGATTGGACCTTGAAGAAGAGGAAGGAGATAATGTAAAAATAGGAGAGAAGTGTGACAAAGAAGGGACTCACAGCAAAAGGACCAGTGACAAATTTAAGAAGACAGAAGTTGAGAGTTGTGCTACTGCAAACTAATTTGAGGAGGGGTTTGATGTCACAGAAAAAGTGTGCAATGCGATTAGAGCCACAAAACCACAGCTGAGAGGTCACCACTCTATGCATCAAGGCATGAAAAAAGCCAGCAGCCCTTGCGGCCCCAGACGGTGTAATACAAGCCCATTTATTCATGATGAGAGTATAACGCAGAGGATGACAGATAGCTACATATCTATCATATGCCATGACACCCAGCAGCACAGTCTCACTACTGCCCAGGAAGTGGAAGAAGTGCAGCTGAGTGAGGCAGCCAATCAAGGAGATAGACTGATGCTTTCTAAGGAAGCCACTTAGCATTTTGGGCACAGTCACTGTAGAGTAGAACATATCCAAGCAAGAAAGGTTTCCCAGAAAAAAAATAATGGGGTTGTGGAGCGGAGGCTTAGCCAGGATGACTCCCAGGATGGCTCCATTTCCTAATAAACAGACTATATAGAACAGCAGGAAGAGTGTGAAGAGAATCTGTTGTAAGCTGTGGTCCTTTGTTAGACCCAGAAGAGTGAATTCAGAGACTTCTGTCCAGTTTTTCATCTCTGAAAACAAAAAAACAAATGTGGTTAACTATTCTGTAAGGAAACAAAGATTCAGTGCTTGGTAGTAAGATGGGGACTCATGCTATGAATGTTGTTTCTTTCTTTCTATGTTTGTTTGTTTTGCATTCACACATTCAATCTTTAAAAACAATTGATGTTTCAATATCATTGCCAAATGGTTATGTCAAGGGATGCACATATAAAATATTTGGTTTTCCTAATGATTTTGGACATTAAGACATTAATTAGATATTATACTCTTGTGTTTTTTTTTAGAGTGTCAGAAGCAAGAGTGAAAACTGATCTGATTTTTAACATTTTTTTTTCTTCCTGTAATTTTCCGGAAGGGAATTTAAATCTTTCATTTTTTTTTGTACTAGATCCTGACTTAGACTTATAGAGAACTAATATATACTAGTAATATCCAGTGCTTTTTTTGTAAAAAAAAAAAAAAAAGGTGCAGGAACTCACACACATTATACAACCCGCCTTGTCTACCCTACAAGGTTCCATCCAAAAAAGGTGCCGGAACTCCGTTCTGGGTGTTCTATGACAAAAAAAGCCCTGGTAATATCAATTATTCTTTATTAATTGAGAACTTTAATTTATATAAGAAATTATGCCATAGTTTTACTCATTCTCCTTCTTTCCATGGCAAATAAAACAATATAATAATAATAATAATAATAATAATAATAATAATAATAATAATAATAATAATAATAATAATAATAATAATAATGATGATGATGATGATGATGATGATGATGATGATGATGATGATGATGATGATGATGATGATGTTGGAAGAGACCTTGGAGGTCATCTAGTCCAACCCCCTGCTCAGGCAGGAAACCCTATACCATTTCGGACAAATGGCTGTCCAGTCTCTTCTTAAAAACTTCCATTGTTGGAGCATTCACCGCTTCTGGAGGCAGGTTGTTCCACTGGTTAATTGTTCTGTCAGGAAGTTTCTCCTTAGTTCTAGGTTGCTTCTCTCCTTGATTAGTTTCCATATTTTATTTATTTATTTCAATTTTATAAACTATGATTTATCAAAACTGTAAATTGCTGGCAAGATACTGGCCCAACCACAAAATAAAGTATATATTTGTAAGAGGGCAATATTTAGAGAAAGCCATTGTTTGCTTCACTTTTTATTTTATTTGTTTTTCAAATTTGCATTTCTGATTTGCTAAGGCTATGTAAGTATGTCATTCCTTATCCATAGCATACATGGGAAACCAAAAGCACTTTTAAAGTGAATTTTCAATGAATGATGAAATGTAGTAACACAAAATAATTATTTTTGTAGCCCATTTCAAGGATCAGAAATTCAACTGTGAATGGGACACTGAGATGCAAATACCACATCTATATTGCAGTCTTATTATTTCTCTATTACCTAATGAATGCCAATAGGTGCATTAGAAACCATTAAAAAAGAGTTTGGTTAACTTAGACAGATGTAATACCTCAAATATTTTTGCAACTGTTCTTCACAATGTATGTGTCATCTCTGGTTGTTCAGGAATAAAAAGTATGACGCTCAATTTTCAGTAGATGAATGAATTATCAGACGAAATTCAAAAAAACGGTATTCATGTATTTATTTCTTTTATAATATGCAAATGCATCTTTCTCTCAGAGACACAAGGCAATGTAAATTATTCTGCAGCTATTATCTTTCTTAGCAGTTCCAGACAGTCTGCATAATGGGAATGGGAGGTAAATCATGCTAAAGGCAACTATAATTCTATGCATATGAAGAATAGGTAGAATTTTGAAAATAATCCATGTTCTCTTCATGTGCTACCTGGATAGTGGAAGATATTATCTGTTGCATGAGTTATCAACAGAATATTTTTACTGTAAAATGGGAATTCTGAAGAAATGTATTGTATTTAAAAGTATTTGTTTATTAAATTTTAATACTGCCCATCTCTCTTATAAAGCTTGCAGAGTATAAAAAGATAAATAGAAAAAATAATTAAAATATTAAAACTATGCAAATTAAAAATTTAAAATTATACAAAAATCAAGAGTGAGATATGGATGGCATGAAGATGAGATCCCATCAACTACCTCCAGCAGTGTGTGCCCCTTAGGGCCCCAAGGCAACTGATAAAACCATATTCCCTATTAAAACTGTATTAATAACCATATTAATACCAGAAAATGTGTGCAAGGTTTTGACCTCTAGTGACAGAATGTCCTGAGGGTCAGGGCCCCAGCAGAAAATTTATAAATGGTATATGTCAACTTACTTTCCAAAACATCAGAAGACAAGACAAGAAACAATGGATGGAAACTAATCAAGGAGAGAAGCAACCTGGAATTAAGGAAAAACTTCCTAACAATGAGAACAATTAAAAAGTGTAACAGCTTGTCTTTAGAAGTTGTGGGTGCTTCATCACTGGAGGTTTTTAAGAAGAGATTGGACAACTACTTGTCTGATATAGTATAGGGTCCCCTGCTTGAGCAGGGGGTTGGACTAAAAGTTCTCCAAGGTTCATTCCAGCTATATTCTGAATTGGAATTGAATAGGAGTTGTGGATCTAGTTATATACTGGGTCTTGCACCACTGTCTTTCCAGGTGCAAGCTTAAGCCTGTTGTGCCCTCCAGGCACTGAGAAAGGGGAGCCACAGCATTATTAGGTTCACCAGGGTGGAGATGTAAAGCTGTATGTCATCGTACCATAGTGTCAGATGATCTCACCCAGTGTTTTTATATAGATGTTAACAAGGAGCAGTGAGAATACAGAGCTGGAATTATCACTCCTTAATAATGCTGATTGGAACTGGTCTTACAGAAAGGAGCCACACAAAGCAATTAAACTGCTCTGAAGATGCTCATCGTCATTTCTTATGTTCTCCAAAAGTAGAAATATTCAGGTCCTTTTAAATAGGGTGTTTTGAGTTAGAATCTTCCTTATAGCAGATTTGACTTCTTGATTCCTCAAACAGTAAATCAGAGGATTTAAAACTGGTGTAAGTACAGTATATAACAAAGAGATGATAAGGTCTTTCTTAGAAGAACCACTGGTGGAAGCAAGCATGTAGTTGGACAATACTGGAATGTAGAACATTACCACAACAGTCAGGTGAGATGCACAGGTAGAGAAGGCTTTCCAACGATTCTGCCATGATTGGACTTTGAGAAAGAGGAAGGAGATGATGTAAAAATAGGAGAGAAGAGTGAAAAAGAGTAAACAGAAAGCAAAAGAACCAGTGACAGCATTCAGCAAAATAAAACTGAGTGCTGTACTACTGCAGGCTAACTTGAGGAGGGGTTTGATGTCACAGAAAAGATGTGGGACTAGTTTAGGTCCACAGAAACATAGCTGAGAGGTCACCACTGTATGCATCAAGGCATAAGAGAAGCCAGTTGCCCACATGGTCCCAATTAGTGTAAGACAAGTCCATTTATTCATTAGGAGAGTATAACGCAATGGACTACAGATAGCCACATAACGGTCACATGCCATGATGCCTAGAAGCATACCCTCACTAGAGCCCAAGAAGTGGAAGAAGTGCAGCTGAGTGAGGCAGCCAGTAAAGGAGATTGACTGATTCTTTCTAAGGAAGCCACTTAGTATTGTTGGCACAGTCACTGTTGAGTAGCATATATCCAAACCAGAAAGGTTCCCCAGAAAAAAATACATGGGGGTGTGGAGCTGAGGCTCAGCCAGGGTGATTCCCAGGATGGCCCCATTTCCTAATAAACAGGCTATATAGAGAAGCAGGAAAAAGGTGAAGAGAACCTGTTGCAGCCTGTGATCCTTTATTAGACCCAGGAGAATAAATTCAGACACCTCTGTCCAGTTCTTCATCTCTATAAATAGGAAAAAAATAGTTATTTGAGAAAGGATCACAATGCTAGATATAGCAATGTAAAATCATTTTCTAAACAGTATTTGACATTCAGTCATGGCACCTTATTAAAATTCACTCACTTCAAAAACTTTACATTTTCATATATTAGATTTGTTTTGTTTTGGGATTAGGTTCTTGTTTGCTTGTTTGTCTATACTGTAAAATGAAATTGAAGGAAGTGACCTGCTTGCTTTCTACTTTTTTGTCTTTTTTCTTATGAGTGCATGGTACAGATCATGGAATATTTCATTTTATCCAGATTTGTTTCATTGTCAAAATTAAGATTGTGAAATAAAACAAAGTAAAGATAAAGGGAGAGTAAAGACAGAAAAAGAGATTCAAATTCACTCTGTACAAAAGTTTATGACTTCCTACATTTACGGTTAGATTTGTTGTGTTTGTTTGTATATGTATTTGTTTAATGCAATAGATTTGTAGATGTTGTGTCCCTCTACTGTACATCAACTAATGAAATTGAATTGGGTCACCTGCTTGCTCTCTACGTTTGGTCACTTCTCATGTGAGTACAACAGTCAGAAGATGAAATACTTCATTTTATCCAGATTTACTTTCATGCCCAAAATTGAGATTGTGAAATAAAATGAAATATAGGCAAAGAGAGAGTAAAGAAAGACAGTAATTGTATTTGAAGGTAAGAAAGGAAAACAGTGGGTGTGATAAAAGAAAAAAAGCAAAATTTGATTCATAACATAGAACTAAGTAATATATATATATTTCAAGTGGATTTACAATGAATGATGAAATTCAGTAATATCAATTATTTTTATAGTCCATTTCAAGGATTTGAAGATTACATTGTAAATGGGACACTGAGATGCAAATAACAAGGGCTATATCTTACTATTTAGAAACCTTTAAAATACAGGAGTTAAGTTCACCTAGATAGATATAATAAACTCAACTTTTTGTGCAATCTTTCTTCATATCTATCAGCAATTGTGGTTCAGGGATAAAAAGGGTAACACTCAGTTTCCTAGTAACAGCTTTGTATGTTATGCATGAACATATATTCTTCCAACCATTTTCAGCAGATACTATACTATGGATGAATTATTAGATGAAACTTAAAGGAAATAATATTTATCTATTAGTTTATAATATTCATATCCCATCTTTCCCTTGGGGACACATGGCAACATGAATGATTCTACAGATATTCTCTTTCTTAGCAATTCCAAACAATCTGCATACTGGTCATGCTCAAGGCAACTACAATTCTATGAACATGAAGAATAGATAGAAATTTCAGCTCCTACCAGGATAGGCCATGGTCTTCTGCATGTAGCCATTCCCACATATGCAGATAAACACAATCAAAATGTTTCCCTCTGTTTATATATATATATAAAAATATGCCACTGTCATTCTCTACAATACCTTTTAACAACACTAATTTAGCAGAGCTTTTTGAGTCTTGGGACATATACAGTATATGCTATAATAGATTTGGAAAATATAGCTGATTAAAACTCAGGGGAGATAATAATGATTAAAGTACTCCAATATGAAAAATAAAGGAAAATTACCAAGGATCTGAACAGAAGCAAATTGCTGTATCCTTCAGAATGGGCATTGGTAAAATATGAATGCCTTCTGAAAGCATTCCATTCTCTGCTCAAACTTTTGAAAAATAATTGAAAGGACACAGCAGAATAGGATGAGTTGTATACAAAATTTATTTCAGAGTATACAATAGAGCACAGGTGTCAAACTTGCCACGTCATGTGATGTGTTGCGACCTATCACAACTTTTTTCGCATTGCCGGAAGTGGGGTGGGTGCGGCCTCCGCATGATGCCTTTTCTCCTTTCCTGACATATTGAATTCTGGATATCTTTGAAAGGTAAGTGAGCAATAGGAGATTGGTTCAAGAAGGCCCAACCAGCTTCGGGGACTGAAGGTGAACTTACTTTTCATGTTTCCAATGAGACTTCCAAAAATCAAGTTTTCCCATTCAAAGAAATTCTAATGTTACATCTGTAACATTCCTCTATGTGTTTATGTTCCTCTAGAAGGAGATTTTCTGCATAGGATTTTTCTTAGAGCAGATTTGACCTCTTGATTTCTCAAAGTGTAAATCAAAGGATTTAAAACTGGAGTGCAGACACTATACAGCAGAGTCATGCTCATCTCCCTTTCAGCAGATTCAGCAGCAGAGCTAAGAATATAATTAAAAATAACAGGGATGTACAAAAGAGCCACAACTGTCAGGTGGGAAGCACAGGTGGAGAAAGCTTTCCAACGGTTCTGCCACAACCCGGTTTTGAAAAAGAGGAATGTGACAATGTAAAGATAGGACAAGAGAGTAAGGAAAAAAGAGGTCAGAGCAATACCACTAGTGACAACATTAAGAAGTGTGAGGTTTAGGACTGTGCTGCTGCAAGCCAACATGAGGAGAGGTTTGATGTCACAAAAAAAGTGCTGGATAAGATTAGGACCACAAAACCATGCCTGGGAGGTCACCACTGTATGCATCAGGGCATGAAAGAAACCAATGGCCCAGGTGGCCCCAACTAGCATAACACAAGTCAATTTATTCATGATAATGGTATAACGCAAAGGATTACATATGGCTACATAACGGTCAAATGCCATGACAGCCAAAAGCATGCCCTCACTGCTGCCCAGGAAGTGAAAGAAATGCAGCTGAGTGAGGCAGCCAACAAAGGAAATAGTTTGTTGCTCTGTTATGAACCCAGTCAACATTTTTGGCACAATTACTGTAGAACAACATATATCCAAAAATGACAGATGCCCTAGGAAAAAATACATGGGGGTGTGTAATCGTGGTCCAACAAAGGTAACTACTAAGATGGCTCCATTTCCAAACAAGCAAGTCTGGTACAGCAGTAGAAAAACTGTGAAGAGAACCTGTTGCTGTGTGTGGTCATTTGTTAAGCCTAGGAGAATGAATTCGGACACCTCCGTCCAATTTTCCATTTCTGTATGAATGAAAAAACAATAACACATGAATGTTGGAAAATAGTTCCATAGCAGAATGAGACACTTTAAAGAAAAATGGATGTGCTGTGATGGGTATAAACATTGAAACTCTTTCCCTTACCTTAATTATGATTAATAATAAATATTAATCATTCTATAAGAATACTAGTATATTATAGTATTCATATACTATTATAAACAGAATACTCTCATTAGACAGAATTGAAATCATAGCTAAGGAAGATAGCTATGATATATAAGCAGGATGAATGCTTGTAATGTTCCATATGTTATTTTAATTTTAATTTTAATTTTAATTTTAATTTTAATTTTAATTTTAATTTTAATTTTAATTATAATTTTAATTATTTTAATTTTAATTTATTTTAAGTTTAAGTTTAAGTTTTAATTATTATTTTAATTTTAATTTTAATAATTTTAATTTTAATTATTGATCATCGCACAGTCAGCCAGATGTTCAGACTGGTTGTTATTATTATTATTATTATTATTATTATTGTTGTTGTTGTTGTTGTTGTTATTATTATTACTATTACTACTACTACTACTACTACTACTATTATTATTATTATTATTATTATTATTATTATTATTATTATTATTATTATTATTATATTGTCTTCAAATAATTTCTGGCAAGTGCCTGGATTAATCTCTACTGTTTTCTTGGTAAGATTTCAGAAGTGGAAACCTCCCGTTACTACTTATGCTGCTGCATTCTGAACCAGCTGCAACTTCCATATTGTCTTCAACTCAAGAGGCCCAATGTACAATGTGTTACAATAATTCAGTCATAAAGCTAAGGCAGGACTAGAATTCACAATCTCCTGGTTTCTAATCTAATCTAATATTTTAATACTACACCAAATGGCTCTCTACAAATAATTATCTACTTTAATCCTGCTCATTTGAAACACATCAGTGCAACCATAATAATTTCATTAAATGTTTATAAAATGTCCATCATTTTCTGTATTTTTTTCAATAAAATCTTTACATCTTCTTTTCTTATTAAAATTTAGAGAGAAGAAGAGAAAGACAGATACAGAAAGATGTGTTAGCAGATAAATGTCTTTTGAGTTTTTAGTATAGAACCAAAAGAGAGTTTTCGGTCCAATGTCCCCTGGCTGTTTCTTCTCGTTGTACTCAGCCACAGTGGGTTTAAATATGTGAAATAATAATAAAAAGGTCCATTCCAGATGACATATTGATCATAACTTCCCTGTGCAATTTTCAAACCACAGCTCTTAGTATGCTCTTCAAACGTGCAGCAGAAGGAATTGAAAATGTTCCCTACAATTTACCTATGTTAAATATGATTTCCAGCATTTATTTTTAACCTTAAAACTATGTCAGAGTTTTGATTTATTAAACCTCTCTTATTTCTCTCTCTCACACACATATCCCCAAAAGTGGACAACTGATGTGTCTGTAGTGGAAGCTACAGAACATCCTCTAATCAACATTTTTCTATTGACCTTAAGTGGTGGCATTCAGAGTGATGTGTCTCCTGATTTTTGCCTTCTTCTTGCACTGGCTAAGATCTTCTCTGCCTAAATGGATGAGATATAATGGTAATAACCCATGCCCAGCATCTCAAGCAAGCTTAGTAAGGAAGCTACATTTGTTGAGCTTTCAACACTGTATCTTGGTTTACAGTTTTATATATTAATCTATGATTATGGGTGCATGTTGACATTTTTGTCTCATTTTATCCAGGGAATGATCCCATAGTTAAAGAAAACACCTGTTTTCCAAATCATTCCTCTAGCACAGGAGTGTCAAACTGCCAGCCCGCAGGCTGGATGCGTCATAGGAAAACCGTACCCACCCCGTTGCCGGCAATGGAAAAAAAAGTTGTGATATATCATGACACATCACATGACATTGCAAGTTTGACACCCCTGCTCTAGCAGTATAAACACATTTTTAATGCAAATAGCTGCTCAGGAAAAGTTTTTAACAAAGTGGAATTCCATGTTATAATCCACTAACCTCTGTGAACTAATCTGCAGTTTAAGATCTAAATAAGGTTACTGAACAGTTGAAAGATTTATTCTTTACTATGGGCTCTTCTCTTAGGGGGAGCCTGGAACCCCCACACAGTGTGTCCCCAGGTGGCGGATTGGAGGGCCCTACCTATTATACTGTAATGGTGGGTTGGAGGGAATCAAATACCTCCCGTGGACCAACAGGCCTGGTGAGTGGCAGCTGGCTCCCCAGTATCGACTGAACGCAGAGACCATATTGGTTGGAACGGATTCAGAAGAACAGCACACTGTGTGGTGGCAGCCACTTGAACAGCATGTGCACAGCGTGTGCACATCCTCATCTAAGATAATTTCCCCCTCTTTGTCAACTAAGTTGTTGGTTTTCTTTTTGTAGAGGCCTGCTGCTTCTTTCACTTTTTTGTGTAAACGAGGTCCAGGCAGAAGAAGAACATTGTGGCTTCAAAATCTAAGGGACTGGTTTGGACAAAACTCAGCAGCCCTTTTTCGTATGGCTGCTGATAAAAACAGGATCGCCAACATGATCGCCAATGTCCGATAATGGATATGGCAGCAGCAGCAGCAGCAGCAGCAGCAGCAGCAGCAGCAGCAGCAGCAGCAGCAGCAGCAGCAGCAGCAGAAGAAGAAGAAGAAGAAGAAGAAGAAGAAGAAGAAGAAGAAGAAGAAGAAGAAGAAGAAGAAGAAGAAGAAGAAGAAGAAGAAGAAGAAGAATGGGCTCTTGGTAAAGAGCACATCAGAAAGTGGTGGACTTCATCAGTTCACATTCTTTCTACTGTATATTCACAAGCTTATGCTTATCATATCTGTTTTTCTGATTCTCCACCATAAAACTTGCAGTTTTATGCAAGTTTATGAAGTGAAATTACACACACACATACACATATCCATACATATATTTCCGAACACCCTCAGTTACTTGTAGTCTACAAAACCTAAACTGAGGTTTCTACTTTTACATTGTTTTCTTCCTCTAAATGGCAATACAAGCTTTTAGCTTACGATTCCTTTCTTTGTACAATATGAGATAAAAGAAAAAACATAAATGAACATGTGAATCATATGAAATAAAATGTGTAAACCTTCACAATGAGAAAAAAAATCAAGGAGTTGTAAGCAGCCTTAAGTAAGAAATGATTTGCTCCTAAAGTTCATACCTGGATAGATTGCATTTTTTGTTCATTCATACAATCAATGCATTCAGGCAATCACAATGAGACATTGTTGTTTCTATTCTATTGCTGAAGTTAAAAGAAATTGTATTGTCTCTGTTCTGTTTAAAAGCACCATATTATCAGTACTGCTGACACTTTAAAACATAAGATATATTAGGAGAAAGAATCTTGGAATATTTTCTAATTCAGGAGTCATGAGAGAGTTTCTTTACTTAGAAAACAAATGGCTAATTGGCTCTCTGGAGAAATGATTGTATTTATCTTGTTTACTTTTTGACTATAATTTAACTTCTGACTTGAAATCTTATTTCTTCATTTCATTAGACATTTTGGATATCAATCAGAGTAAGTGTATTTTTTAAAAAGGAAATAATTCTTATATAATTATAATTGTTCAAAACACATTCAGATATAACCCAGGAACAATCTGGAATTAGGATAAGTATCCATAATACTCAGTTTTCATAACTAAAATTATTATTTCTTGTTATTTTTCCCCTAATATCAGCAACAACAAGTTATTACTGTGCCACTGTTAACACGATCTTATAGATTCAGAGGATGTGGATATAAACTTAAGTGAAGATGTATAGGACTTACTTCTTATTAAAGTCCAGGAGTGCATCCTAGCTATGGAATCTTGTAGATACACAGTAAGGTTGTACCAAAAAAGGAGAATATTTGTAATTCAGGGTTGAAATGAGGGGTCTTGGGTGTTCTCTGACCTTGGTTGTTTTTTTTTGTTTTTGTTTTGCAAAGGTTTCATTCTCCAAACTAGGTAACATCATCAATGCACTGATGATGTTACCTAGTTTGGGTAATGAAACTTCTGCAAGAAAACAACCAAGCTCAGAGAGCACCAAAGACTCCACAATAAGATTGTCGTATGAAAATAGATCTCAGAATTCACTTTTGAATGTCTGTCGTCAGATACTTCTGCAGAGCACACTTGTAATTAGGAATGAATCTGTCCCTTGTGGAAAGAAGCTCTATTAAATTGATAAATTCAATCCTCGCCAAGATGGCTGTTACTGATCTGGAAGTCCAGAGAAATATTTCATAAAATTTCATAACTTTTTCTGATTTCTAGGACATGGTGTGCTAGGACATGCTGATGGTTGTGAGGCAATACTCTGAAATAAAAATGCCATGCATTATCTATTTCAGAACAATATGGTATATATATAGTATATTCAGAGAAAGAAATGGAGAAAGGGAGAAAAGGAGGAGACAGAAAAGGAGGAGACAGAAAAATAACATAAATTTTATCAACATTATATTTAGGGAGTAGTAAAGTCTTTCTAAAATCCTTAGTTGGCCTTTCCTTTCCCCTTTACTTCCATTTAAGTATTTAAAATTGAAACACTATAGGTTTATATGTAAAGAAGTTTGCACTGGGAAAGAGAAAGCACATTTTTCTGGAAGAAGGAGAAAAAGAAGTTCTATTCATGCAAAAACATTGTCATATAGATATATGCATATAGATATAACTTTACATTCCAGTTCCCTGAACAATATCAACTAATATAAATGATTTCTTTAAAAATAAAATAATGTACCATTGTTATCTAATACTGGATAAATTGTCAAAAATGAATAAAGGTATTTCAAATATATTTTGGAAATGTAAATGTAAAAAAGGAACTTTTTACCATTTATGATGAACCTGTGACAAAGCAAAGAAATATTTGAGTAGGATTCATATCTTAAAACAGGTGAGTCTTAAAGCAAATATGAAGATAAAACCAGATACTTTATTTTAGGCTTAATGGACAAATATATACATATATTTAAAAAAAAATGATATATATACTGACAGTAGCAAGAATGTTTTATGCATAAAAAATGGAAAAATACCTTAATTCCCTCAATGGATGATTAGCTGCAAAAGCTGATGGAGTTAGCAGACATGGCTAAATTGTCTGCTTTAATTAGAGAAAAGAATACAACTAACTTTTTTTCTACTTGGAAACAACTTCAGGACTTTGTTCTTGAGGTGGAAAAAAAATGAAACGTTGATTTTGAGTTTTGCTGATTAGATATGTTTGTTGTTACAGAAATGGTTAGTATATATGGAATCTCTGGTGCAGGATTCTGACCATAAGGCTCTGTTCATCATCTTCAGGATCCTTCTGTCTTTTCCTCCTATAGTCTTGTAATCAACTTAAAAAAACAAAATGAATGAATGAATCAATCAATCAAACAATCAATCAATCAATCAATCAATCAATCAAAGAAGCAAATAAAAAAATAGATTGTGTGTAATGAGTGACACTTTTATTTAGAATAGTTTTCTTCTCTTCTCTTTCTTTATATAGACTATAAAACCTGACTACCAGATTCAGAGGCATTGGAACTTGGTACCCTTATTTAACTTCACCCCGAATCCAATCCACTGTGTCTTTTTAATGGCAAGGGAGAGAGAAAGGGGAAGGTTAAAAGTAATTTAGTGAAATCAGAATAGTAAAGTTTGTATCAAGAGTACAAAGTGTTAGCTGAGACAGAAGTATCAAAAGGTTCAAGGTAACAAATAATAAGGACAAATCCACCAGCTTCACTGTGGTACTGCAACCACCCAGATGTCTTTCAACATGTGAATCCTAAATCCTAAAGGAATCCAAAATCCTGAAAAAGTGACACCAAATTCAACTGTAGAGATGGACTGTCAATTAAGGAGGGAAAAATATTTTTTTCAAGGACTTCTTAAAGAAACAGAAGGAGTGATAAGCCAATAAATAGGAAATAGCAAGGGACCAAGAGATTTCCTCAACAATGGATGAAAGAAGGTATGCTTATGGGAACCTGGAAAACTACTAGGTGGACAAATTTCAAGTGGAAGGGAAATACAATATAAAGTAGGGAAAATGGGAAAAAGATAAGAGGATAAGAAGAAAGGAAGAAATAATCCCTGCCATTGCTTCTTACTGATTCTATGTAATCTGAATTCAACAAGAAGACTCAGAAAGGAAAGGAATAGCTTAGTGTTATATGGAAAGCCTTATTTGACTTCAACATTTTACCTAAAATTTCACCTATGACTTTTTGAAAATAGTTCGTCTTGAATGCATAGAACTACATAGATCAGGAGAGAATATTTGTGAAAGAAAAATGAGATTATGAAAATAGAAAAACCCAAAAATCTTTATTTAATCTTTTCCACATAATATAAATGCATAGGCAATCTTTTGCTTTTGTAATTCCAAGTGATGAAACTTCCTTGTTTATATCTGATGAAAAAAGTCCCAACGATTGCCTAGGAAGATGATATGGGAACATTCCTTCAAAACAATGGGTTAAATTTCCAAAATGTTTTAATATCCCCCAAATTAATCTCTTTCTTTATGTATCATCAAATAAACCGGGATTCATAACTGCTTGCATGAAGTTTAAGAGTTCAAAAGTTCAACCCACAGCAATATGTAGATATATAATAACTGCAATGAGTACTACAATTGTCATCAGATGAAAGAATGCTTTAAAAATTACCCTCCCCAGTATTCAACAAACACATCAGCATTAAATATATATCAGATATTTGTATCAATTTTATTAATTTATTTGTTTGGTCCTTTTTGGTGCTTTAGTCATAGGACAATAATCAGTTTACAACAATATTTTTAAACAATACTACTAAAATCAAGTGAATAATCTAAGTATCAAACAATGTCAAACATCTGCTAAAAATATTGTAATAAAATCCATCTTATGTGAAATACCAAATGACATTGTCACAGTAATAAAAACTGTGGCCTGAAGAGCTACAATATGGAATCCACAAAGTTTGAACTTCTGGGGTGAAGGATGGGGGTGGGGAGAGCAAAGCATGAAAACCCTATTATGCTTATGTTTCTATCAAGTGTTGTGGCACAAATACATAACTGCAGTATTGGCATGATGACATAATTATATGTTTCTTAATTTTGAACTTGTAGCAGTTTTCATGGATTTGTTGGCCATAAAGCCTAATATGGACTATAGAAATCTAGAAAAAAAAATTGTCCTATTACATTAAAATAAAATATATCCTCCCATAATTTCTTCAACAATAAAGATAATTTCTTCAATTCATATGTAATATCTGAATGTTTGACACTGTTTTTTTAATAACAGCTCTTACTTCTTTGTTCCTTAGAGTATAAATCAGAGGATTCATGACTGGAGTGACAATAGTGTACATAAGAGTTACCATTATTTCCTGCTGCAGTGATTGTCCAGAAGAGGGAGGAACATAAGTCAAAATGGCCCCTGCATAGAAAAGAGTCACAACTGTGAGATGTGATGCACATGTAGAAAAGGCTTTTGTTCTACTTTCCTTGGTTTTAACTTTTAAAAAGAGAAAGGAGATGATGTAGACATATGACAGAAATGTCAGGATGAAAGGGAGCAAAACAATCAAACCAGTGATGATATTGAGAAGGCTGAGATTCAGTGTGATACTACAGCATGCCAGCTTCAAGAGGGGCTTAATATCACAGAAGAAATGTTGTACAGTGTTAGGGCCACAGAAATGTATCTGGGAAGTCATAACTGTATGCATTAGAGCATGTAAGAATCCAGTGGTCCAGGTAGTTATCACTCCTCTAATGCAGGCTGTCTTATTCATGATAGTGGTGTAACGGAGTGGATTGCATATTGCTACATAGCGGTCATATGCCATGACACCCAGCAATAAAGCTTCGCTGCTGCCTAGGAAGTGGAAAAAATGGAGCTGAGTAAGACATCCAATAAAAGAGATCCTCCAATATCCCACAAGAAAGCCAGTCAACATCTTGGGTACAGTGACTGTAGAGTAACAAATATCTAGGCAAGAGAGGTTTACAAGAAAGAAGTACATAGGTGTATGAAGACGTGGTTCACTCAGTGTTATGACTAAAATGATGGTATTTCCTAAGAGGCTGGAAAAATAGAGTAGCAAAAAAAGAAAGAAGAAAAAGGTCTGAAGTTCAGGGATGTTAGTCAGGCCCATAAGGATGAATTCATTCACATTTGTCTTGTTTTCCAACACTGAAAAATATAAAAAGAAATGTTGCCACTACTACTACTCTATTATTACTGATAATTCTAAACAATATTTGATAATTCTATATTCACAGAAAGTAAGGATGGATGGATGGATGGAGGGAGGGAGGGAGGGAGGGAGGGAGGGGGGATGGAACGAATGTGAGTTAAGACTAGAACATCTAAAAAAGAGACTGAATTTCTAGAGTTCTATACATTTCTGGAGAAATTTTAAATACTGTTTGGTTTGTTAAAAAGCTTCTTGTGAGAAGCATGTCAGAAATGGAAAAATAGTTTAATTCAGGACAAATGTTTTCACTTTGATTTCTCACTGCAAGAACAAAATTATATGTGAGCCCATACACAAGTGTGTATTTATGTTTATGTGTTTGTATGTGGTTTTGTGTGTATGAGAGAGAGGTGGACGAACAGGAAAGAAAGAAACAGAAATCAGAGGAACTGAGTTGTTAGTGATTGAGCAGAAAAGCCATTTTGGAGTGATAGTGAACAGCTCAGTCAAGCCAGTTTGCCACTACTACTTAAAAGATAAGTTCCATTCTTGAAATTACTAGAAAGGAAACTCACAATATTGTGATGCTTTTACAAAATCTGTAGTGATACTATATTTGGAATGTTGCAGATAGTTCTTATCACAATACCCTAAATAGGATAGTAAAGATAAGAAAAGTTACAAAAAGAACAATCAAAACCTTTAAAGGAATATATAAAATATAAAAAATTATTCTGCCTACATTTTTTCTCTTATCAAAGATTTAGTTACAAGTATATTCTGCATATTTCATCAAGCACATTTTGCATTCCAATTCTTTATTTTTCCCTTTCAACAATTTTTACCGTTTTCAATATGTATAGATAATCTTTTTTTGATGACAGATATGAGGGCATTAAACTTAATATAATCACATTATATTCTAAGTATAAAAATGCTCAGAAACCCACTACTTGTTTTGAACTAATTGAAAAATAACAAATGGAAAGACTGTTGTATTCATGACTGAAGAAAAGCCTGGTTACCATACTAGTTAGGAAAAGTTATTAACACTTTTATGCTTTCATACTTGCATTTATACAGTTCTCTCCGAATTCTTGCCAATCTTCTAGGTGACACTTTAAAGGAACCAAGATATTCTCCTTTATTTATCTTAATCCCTCTGCATAGAGTCATTTCAAAGGGGAAAATAAAAAAGACGTTAATTGCTCTCCTTGGAATAATACATGTGTTCAATGCAGTGCTAAAAAACAAAAATCAGCCCATGTCCATCTAGAATGGGAATAGGAATATGATGCGGGGTTTTCTTCCAGTGCCCAAATAAAAATAAGCCATAAATGTTTTGAAAAATGTCCCTTAGAAATAATATTATTAAGACACTTATGTTATTGCTGCCCCTTTCTTCTTGTGAGTTAAGTTTCTTTCTCTTCTACAGTAATTGATTGGGAAATGGGATCATCCCTAAATTCTCTGTTAAATGTCTTTGCTTATTGGTGTGAGCAGCAGGTGTCTTTACAATTTCTGTTATTTTATGTGGCAGACTCTCAATTTATGTTACAAAGATCTCCTTTTAATAGGTAAACTTGTTTTTGAAGTTAAAATTTTGAAGATCAAGATCATTGAGCTGTGAACAGGCATTGCTTAATTATGAAGTCAGTTCAGTGGTGGGATTCAGCCGGTTCGCACAACTTCGGCAGAACCGGTAGCTAATTTTTTGTTGCCCAGGCCCAGAATGGACTTCCAGATGCGGCATCCACACAGAGAACTGGTTGTTCACGTATTTGAATCACACCAGTGATTCAGTTGTATGCTCCTTTTTCCAATTCATATCATTCCCCATGCAAGATGCAGTTGTATGCTCCTTTTTCCAATTCATATCATTTCCCTATGCACAATTCCCCATCTTGCATAAACAACACACTTGCTGAACAAATAGATGTGGGAGGCATTTTCTATCAGAAAAAAATATAAGCTGTTGACTTTCATTTTCTGCTGTAAATCCCATTCCAAAGAGTTATAAAGAGTTATATGTGTCATGCCCATCTAGAGAGTAAGTAGGATCAGAGTTATTTACTGAAGTTTTCTGTTTATTTTACATTTATCCATTTTCTGCTGCTTCAAAATGCTACTACATTTTCCCCATTTTTGAGTCCTGTTTAATATTTTTTTAAGTTGCAACTGTAGCAGATAGATGACCTCCCACACATTACAGTGCATAGAAAGTAAATTAAAAGTATATCAAAATAAAACTAGCAAGACAAAAGAACATCCAACATCCAACATCCATTTTGAGGCCACTTGCAATTATTAAGACTACTGGAGAAGGGCCTAATGCTAATGCTGGGAAAGATTGAGGTCAACAGAAGAAGGGGACGACAGAGAATGAGGTGGCTGGATGGAGTCACTGAAGCAGTAGGCATGAGCTTAAATGGACTCCAGAAGAGGGTAGAGGACAGGAAGGCCTGGAGGAACATTGTCCATAGGGTCGCAATGGTTCGGACACGACTTCACAATTAACAACAACAACTGCACAAAAGCATCTATCTGCTACAGTTGCAGATATTTTAGAAGATTAGACCTGAGAGACTGTATAATGAGAGAGACTCTTCTGTACATACTGAGATTGGTGGATTCCTTGAGGTTATTCAACGTGGCCTCAAGATAGTGATGGATGAGCAGTCTGAATCTATGTTCCATTTTATGTTCTTTTAGCTTGTAGTGCAGTCGTGTCAAACTCGCAACATCACGTGACATTGCACGACACATTGGGACTGTTTTGCCATTGCCAGCAGTGGGGTGGGCGCAGCTTCCACATGACACGTAAGGCCCGCGGGCCGGCAGTTTAACACCCCTGTTGTAGTGCCAGATGGATTTACCCTCTCTGTTTTCCTGATAGAAAGTAATGAAAACTCTCTCTGCTCCCATGAATTTAGTACATCTGGGACACTAATTTTGGATTAGCATTTGGATCACTACAATTATGGAAACCACGGTAATTTATTTTAATGTTTGCTATGTCCCTGTGGATTAACAAACATTGCTCGCAAATGAGAATTGTTAAATGATCTGGATTCACTACAGTAAACAGCTTTTGCCTATAACCTATGAGATTCATAATTAGGACTGCAGCAATAGAACTGAAGCATGTTATAAGTCTGATAAGATTTATAGAGACACAGACCAATTTGCCTACAATGACAATTACATTAAATATTGCTCCTACTGAATAATGCTACCACTAAAAAAAATGTGATGTGTGAAAGCCAAAGTGCTGCCAAACATCTGTACAACAATAATATCATTATTTTCAGGTTAAATCGCTGGAGCAATCAAAAATTTTGAAATTAACTATAACTGTCTAATATATGTTGCTTGTTCACATAATGAATTAGTTTCTCTTTCTATTAGTACTGTTACCATCTGAAACTATGTCCATATACTCAAGACCAGATAAAATCATTATGTTTTTCCCTGAATATTATTTGATCGGTGATTATATTTTTGGTGGGATTTTTTCTATGTGTTCTGCTTTTTCTAATGATGTAGCTTTTGAAAAACACCCCTTGTTCTTTTATGTTCATGGCTGGAGGTAAGGCTTAATATCATTGTTTTTCCTTTTATAAAATATGAAAGTTTTCTCTTCCTGCAAATCATTTTTTAAAAAATGCAATCTGTCACAAATACAAAAGTCTCTATTCACAATCATTTTCATAAGCCTGACATTTTCCAAACAATACTTTACAGTGAACATTGTAGAATTAGATGATTGTATATCACCCAGATTAGTCTAAAATATACCTTCAGCATAAAGGATGAGGAGGTTTTTGGATTTAGATTAAACCTGACATCTCTAGACAATTTAGCACAGAATTTATATGATAGCAGAATTTAGTCTTCAAAATAACTCTCAAATGGACTCTCATTTTAAAGCTTTAAAGATCTTGGCTTTATGTTGCAAGATTAATTTCTAAAATTAGTTAGAGTGAATTGAAAAAGATGTAGCTTATTTACTGAGAGTTTTCTCTACGGAATCCATGCACCATTCTGAATTCAGAACCCCAAAACACCAGTCCTTACATTTTCAGAGCCCTGACATAATTCAGTGATAACAAGTATATTTATGTTATGCCTGCTCAAAATGATTTCTGACAATGAAAGACCTAGAGATCTATGATGTGGATTGCTTCATTTTTCACAAAATTAGAACAAAACTGTACACAAATATACATATATACACTTAGATTCAGAACAAAATTTCCACAATAGAAGGGGATGTTTTTAAAAATATATTTTTTGTAAAACTTATATGGAAGCTTTGAGACTCATAATGCTATTAAAGTTTATTGTATTCTAGCAGGACTACCCAATTCTGTAATAGGTTTGTTCTCTATGCCATCCATCTGGTAATCTCATAAGATTTGTTTTTCTCACTATGCACATGTATACATAACCCGAACTAGACTGTTGTTTCTCTGAGTCATATAATATGTGTGGGTATATGCATAATTCTGTATTTATTTATTTATTTATTTATTTATTTATTTATTTTTGTGTTATTTATGTAATGTATATCGGAGGTGGTGACCTTTTGAGAGCTGAATGCAATGAAATTTCATTTTAATGTATGCTAATTAGTGTACATTCAAAGTGACAATAAAGTTTCTATTCTATTCTATTCTATTCTATTCTATTCTATTCTATTCTATTCTATTCTATTCTATCGCATTAAATCTTTTGTGTCTTTCTCCTTTTTTACTGATTTTTTTCTTTGCTACTGATTTTCATAATGGTTTGGCAAGTACTCATTATTTTTCAGAGCCTACAAGATTTTTAGTAAACCCATTAGATAACAAACTGTTGTCTTTTTATTACATTTCTTAGCCGTTTTCCAACATTTGTGAAATAAATAATGAAGACATTTTCATATATTTGAGTGAAACCAAATCAAATATATACTGATTATCACTGAAAAATTGTATCACTTAGGG